CGGGGGGGCTCTCCCAGGTCCTTCGCCCCCACCTCACCTCCCAGGCTCCTGCGCCGGTTGGAGACGCGGTCGGCCAGCACCAAGGGCCGGGGGGGCCTCAACGGCGGCGGCTTGCCCCCCCGCTTCTTGTGCTGAGCCAGGCGGACCACCCAGGCGGGGTAGGTGGGCACGCTCGACGCCATGAGGGCGCGGTTTGCGACACTGAGTGGCGAAGGCCGCCAAGCAACCGCAGCCCCTCAGCCAGGCGAGGCGCGCGCAGGCCCGGCTCGGCTCCCGCACACCACTGCGCGTGCGCAAGCGCCTCCGGTGGTGGGAGGGGGGTCTTCTTTAGTTTCTGCGCATGTGTGCGCAGGACTCTTTCTGTGGAAGTAACTCCTGACAGGCCTCTAATGTAGCCAATCCTCCTGGAGTTTACAGTAGCCCCTGCAAGAAGAGCTCTGTAAGCTCTTGGAGGATTGGCTACATTAGGGGGGTGCCGCCTGATATGCAAAGCAGTTCCTATTACAAAAAGAGCCCTTAGCCTAGACTCAAGTAAGAGTTTCAAGCCGTCAGGCATAAAATGTAAGTTGTTTTTTTTTTTGGGGGGGGGGGGCTCAGTCCCCAAAATAACCTTTGTGCAGTATCAGAAATCGAGCCGTGCAAAAATTAGCTGATATAATACAAAGCGTGTAGCGACAATGGGAAAAGGAAAGTGAGGAGTCCGGGCTCTTCTCTCCACCAGGGGCAAAGGACATGAGGACCCTTCCCCTGACAAGCTGCCACTGTTATGGTAAGGGCGGTGATCCACACCACAAGGAAAAGGCACAGGTGTGTCTCCGTGTGCCCAGTGCTGTGAACAAAGGTTATTTTCACATACCAGTTCTCTAGTTCTTCCTTTAAGGAGCCCCAAGAGGATGCAAGAACCTGAACAAAGAAGTTCATGACTGCACACAGTGAGCACCTTAAAGTCTAAAAATGTACTATGGTATATAACCTTTTGTGACAAAATAATGACCAATTTCGGGAAAATACTAACTTCTAAGCATAAGGAAACAACACAGATTACAAATTCAGGTCGACAGACAGCTGTGTTAGTCTGAAGCGGCAGAACAAAGTTTGAGTCCAGTGGCACCTTTTAAGACCAACAAAGTTTTATTCAAAGTGTAAGCTTTCCTGTGCAAAGCACACTTCTTCAGACAAATGGAATAAAATTCTACTTGCAGGAAAAAAAGAGGGTGGGGGGGCAGCTGTTAGGGGAGGGGCCCCTCAGAGCCAAGATGCCTCTGCAGAGTTGAAATTGACAGATGCCAAAAGACAAGAGCAGCCATTGGAAATGAGAGAAGAAACCTCGGTCTCAATTCAGTCTAGGAGTTTGCATCGTCTTGAGCTTCGGGATCGGTTGCGATTCAGCAGTCTCTCTAATCTCCCTTTGAAATTCCTTTGTCAGAGAACTGCTAGTCTTAGGTCAGCAACTGAAAGCTTAAAATGTTCCTTCACTGGTTTTTGAATGTTTATTTTATTTCACTTATACCCCGCCCTCCCCGCAAGCGGGCTCATGTTGTGAACATAAGAACATAAGAACCACTGGACAGAAGTCCTGCCAGCCTAGCAGTTCATAAGAACATAAGAACATAAGAACATAAGAGACGCCAATGTTGGATCAGGCCAAAGGCCCATCCAGTCCAACACTCTGTGTAACACAGTGGCCAAAAATACCAGTGCCATCAGGAGCAAGAAACTGCAAGTAGATAAATAGGTACCACTTTGGTGGGAAGGTAACAGCATTCTGTGTGCCTTCGTGTTTAGTCATGTCAGCCACATGACCACAGAGAAGTCTTTGGACAATGCTGGCTCTTCGGCTTGGAAACGGAGATGAGCACTGCCCCCTAGTCGGATTCGACTAGCTTTCGAGCAAGGGAAACCTTTAACTTTTTATGTGTTTTTGTGAGTCACTGCTCACTTCTTCAGACTTATTTCCATTTATTCTTTGCATCCCCCAGGACTAAATCCTCCTGTACTAAATTGAGACTTAGGTTTCCTGTCTCATTACCAATGCTGATATCTCCATGCCTCTGCATATCACACCAATGCTGATACCTCCACCCATCTGCATATAACACCTAATCCAATCATGCCTGCTATTGCCATCTGGCACCTGAAATCATATTTATAAAGTTTGTATCTCCAGTTCCTTGTGTTACATTTTATGGTGCATGTGGCCTCGCCCGACAAAGTGACATTTACCGTATGTCAGATCTGGCCCTCGTAACAAATGAGATGGTTAGACAGTGTCATAGATGCAACGAACATGAAGTTGAACAAACTTCAGAGGACGGCGGAAGACCGGAGGGCCTGGCGGGATCTGGTCCATGGGGTCGCGAAGAGTCGGACTCGACTGTGCGACTGAACAACAACAACAATGTTATAAAAATACCAATAGACTTAGCCAATCTTTCTCGAATACATTATTCGGAAATGCATGAAGAAATCATAAAGAAAATAGAAAATTGGGATACAACTTTTCTTTAATAGATAAATCGCATTAGCATTTTAAGATCTTATATTTTACCCAAATATATATATACCTTTTCCGAACAATACCTATCACCATACCAGATCGGCAACTGAAGAAATGGCAGAATGACATAAATACATTTTTATGGAATTATAAAGTCCACCGTATTAAATTCAGCACCATACACAGATCAACGAGAAAAGGTGGCTTAGCAGTGCTTGATCTAGCTATCTACTACAAAGCAACACTCTTGGCGACGCTGGTTAGACAATATCAAGAAGATGAAACCTTAGACTGGAAGTGGATTGAAGTAACTACATCAAAAGGATATAATTTGCAGGAATTGCTTTGGAAAAACAATTTTCAAGTGGTGTTTCCAATAGTTCCTACCCCACTTTTAAGAGCGACACTCAAAATATGGTATCGTCACAGAAACATTATAGCTATACCTTTTAAAAAGCTAAGTACGTTTGTAGGACAGTCATGGTTCCTTCCAGCGAAGCATATGGACTCATTTATTACTTGGAAATCTGCTGGAATAACACAAATTATTGATCTATTACATAAGGATCAAGTTCTATCTAAAAATGATCTGGAAAGTTCAACATTTTATTGAATCCACAGGCTATAACTCTTCAATACATAAACCATTTAGTGATTTTGAAACTATTCTCTTCAAATATTCCAAAAAACAAGGTCTTATTTCAAAAATATACTCAATTTTATTAAATCATCAATCAGTCCGAGCTACCAAACTGCCTGGTCCTCTGACTTGCAACAGCACCTAACTGAAGAACAATGGAATACAATATGGCGTACTCAGACTACAATGTCCAAATCCATGAATGTTTTAGAAGCTAATATGAAAGTCCTTCTAAGGTGGTATTTGACACCCGCTAAAATAGTGCATTTAGTACCCAACACCTCGCCATTGTGCTGGAAACGCTGTGGAGAGAAGGCAACATATTTCCATACTTGGTGGTCCTTCAAGTACATACAACAATATTGGTCCCAAATCATTCAACAAAATAGAACTTTAACTGGTTACAACTTACCTTTATCCCCTGCGCTAATACTTCTACCTGCAAAGAGAAAAAAATTAATTAACATATTAATTACTGTGGCAAAGATAACTATAGCTAAAAATTGGAAATATAAGAATCCTCCAAACACTAAGCAGTGGCTCCATACAGTATGGGAGTTATACATGTTAGAGAATCTTATCAGTTTATGATTCCAATAACACAAATGAATGTGAATTCTATAATCCTTTGAATATATGGTACCCCATCCTGGAAAAGGTAACAATAGACAAATTTGGTTGGGAGACAATCAAAGATGCTGAATATAAGATTATGTTATATAGCTGATAGTTAAATTATGTTATGAAGGGTTAAAAGTTGTAAAAATGTTATAAAAACTCAGTCTTTTTGCCTTTTATCAAAGCTCTGTCTGTACTATAAAGACATCTAAATACCTTTAAGACAAGTAACATATCCATTAGATATGTGATATTATTGACTCGAGAGTAGAGTATTGAAAATTTGATTTGAATGCACTGTATGGGATTGTACTGTAATTGTCTGACGTATTTCTCGTTTCTTTCCTTTTATCTGGAATTGTTTATAAAAATCAATAAAAATTAATTAAAAATAGATTATTAGATAACCACATTTAATGAACTTGAATTGAACATTGAGTTTAAAGCTAACTTTTTAAGCAGTATGTATGACCACCATCTCTTGAGTTTTTAGTTGGTTTTCTTTACTTTCTCCTATAGTTTGTAGACCCCCTCCCAAATTTCGTTGTAGTTTATAGAAAATGCAATAAAAAATCCCCTACGGGGAACATAAAACAAATACCCAGAAACCTATTTTGTTCTTTTATAGATTAAATCATTATTTGTTTAAACTTATCCCAGCAATCAGAACAGTCCTTCCTCAGGGCCACATAGTCCTCTGAAGCGCCCAGACACTGAGTCCTTCTACTAAAAGAGAGAGATTTGGAATTCTTAATTCCTGGTGGCAGCAGAAATCTACTAAGTTCAAGTACACAGAGTGCGGTTTAAAATAAGCGAGGATGCCACAAGGTCCTTTGCTTACAAGTAAATCTATTGGTAGTACGTTCTCTACGGTTGGGTAACACAGGCTCCTATCACATGGGCCAGAAAATGGGGGGGGGAGCATGGCTGTTTGCCCCAGAGCTAAATAACGCGCGGCTGCGCGATCAGAGGTCCCCTCGAGGTCCCATGGTTAGGGGGGAGGTGCCGATCACACTACAATCCTGCGGAGCGGCAAAGAAGCGGCGCAGTGTGGCTTACAGGGCTGTGTTTTTCTTTTGAAACTGAAGTGTGCACATGCGCCGTTGGGTGCTTGTGCGCATTCCGTGGAGACTTGGAAAAAAACCCCTTTTTGCGAGGGGACATGGGCCGGCGCCAGATGCCACCGGAAACGCGATCAGACGCCCGCCCTTGCCCCGCGGTTTCCGGAAACTAGTACCTCAGAGATACTAGTTTTTAACTCCACATCTTCGGCGGGAAGCCTCGGGTTCGCCATGGGAGCTCTACACTTCCCAGATGTTGCGGTGTGATCGCGCCCGGAAAATCCGCCTATCATCCATCTCAGTAGCCTGGCTAATGCTCCGTGTGACCGCAGCCACAGTTGTTATTTTGTGCAGGCTGGATGGATAGACAGGGTAAGATGGCAGCAGCAGAGCTACTTGATATTTCATCAATTGGCCAGGAGACTGACCTTACACTTGGTGTGACCCTTTCAGAGGTGCAGACCATTGCAAGAAAAAAGCCAGCAA